ATAGCTTATAAGCACTTTTAGTTTGATCAAGGCTTTTACTAGTTTATCCTTAATAATTTTTTTCTAATTCACAAAATATTTTTCCCAATTTTTTTTTTCTAACTTTCTTTTCATTCCATGTTCGTTGTTCATCTTTTTCTTTACAAAGAAATTTTTTAATTTATAATTTTTTAAAGTTTGCAAGGATATTTTTGTCATTTTTAATAAAAGAATAACTTATCAGCACTTTTCTACCAAACACATCAACTGCTTATTATCAGTTTCAGCACGTTTATTCAAACACGTAAATGCTTATTTAAAAAATCAGTTTAAGCACTTAAAAATACTTTTCAGCACTTCAAACTTATCAACTATACTATTTATAAACAGCTAATACAAACGGGCTCTAGGTCACCTAAAAGCATAACTAAACTAACATTTATAATGCTTGAAAATAAAAACAATTAATCTCATGTTACCATAAGTAAAAATACATTCACATCAATTTTTTTTACACTGGTGTATACAGAAATAGATGTAAAATTTAAACTTTATAGGTCCACCACTGAGAATGTACACCATATTTTGTCATGTAATGAATTCAAAATTATTATTTGTACATATCTAATGAGTTTTTAAATAAATATATAGGATGCGAGATAAAATTATGGATTCAGATGAACCCATTACTTCTATTCTAGATATGCTCCTTAGTGTATATCTGTCAAATCACTCTTTTAGTACATGAGAATCCTCTTTTGGATTCTTACGTTGAATATTTACATGACAAGAGAATTCTTTATATTGCTTTGTGGATGAGCAAATGGTCATCAAACATAATTAATCCTATAAGGAAAACTCAGTGACGAAGAGTCACAATTCAAATAATTTTACGAGCTTGAATCTAATGTAAAAATTGCACGGAACGCTTTATTTGGTCGCCCCCATTTAACCTATACCTATTTTTAAAAAAAGTTTTAACTTGTACCCATTTTTTAAAACAACTTCAGCTTCCTTTCTCCTCCTCCTCCTCCTCCTTCTTCTCCTCCTCCTCCTCCTCCTCCTCCTCCTCCTCCTCCTTCTTCTTCTTCTTCTTCTTCTTCTTTCTTCTGTTGTTGTTGGTGCTGCTATAAAACTTCAGTTCATCGGACGATTGCCATAAATATGTTTATCAGATTATTTAAAAATAAATTATAAATAGTTACGTAAGCTAGTAGACAATAATTTGTGAATATTTTCACGTACATAAGTTAGTAGGCAATGATAATTCTGTTTTTTTCACGTTTAATGTTTCCAAAATTTATGATTTAGATAATGTTGGCAATCTGATTATTTATCTAGTATATTAGAAAGCTTTTTCAAAAACTTCAGCTTATATAGCGCTGAAGTTTTTACAAATGAACTAAATAATTTCAGCATCTTTTGCTAAAGTTTTTGAAAAAGCTTTATGACAAAACTAATGAATCCAGGACAAAAAAACTTCAGCTTTTAGTGCCGAAGTTTTTACAAATGAACTAAATAACTTCAGCATCTTCTGCTGAAGTTTTTGAAAAAGCTTAATGACAAAACTAATTAGGACAAAAAAACTTCAGCTTATTTAGTGCAATTACAAACAAAAACTTCAGCAAATAGAGAACAAAACTTCAGCTACTATGCTTAAGTTCAGCAATTACAAACAAAAACTTCAGCAAATAGAGAACAAAACTTCAGCTACTATGCTTAAGTTCAACAATTACAAACAAAAATTTCAGCACACTTGGTTCAACACACTTGCTACTTCAGGCCCGTCTACTAGAATGTTGAAGTTTTGCGTGATTGCCTTTGCTACTTTAGCCGTATCTACTGAAATTACGCGAAAAAGTGGGTACGCTTGTAATTGTTTTTGCAGAGGGGGCACAAGTTAAAACGTGACCAAAAAAGCGGGTATAGATGCAAATTGCCCCGAATCTGATTAGGGGTGTCAACAAGTGGGTTGGGCCAATTTTGGGGGGTCAAAACCCGCCCAAAAATTATGTGGGCAAAAATGGGTTGGGTCAAGATGGCTAAAATTTGGGACATAGCCCAACCCCCGCAACTCTTATCAATCTTTAGTTAATATATATATATTTTTCTTATGGATTATATAATTACTAAATAAGACTTTTTCCTTTTGTTATGATCATATATAACATATCAAATAAAAAAATAAATTTATTTCTAAGATATTTTTACAAAATTATTAATGGATCAATTTGGGCGAAAGATCAACTCCACTTTATATGGGTTGAGATAGGTTGAATCAAGATTGGTTGAGTTCAACTAATGGGTGAGTCAATAACCAATCCAACCTTGAGCGGATTGGACGGGTCATGGGCTTGGGCCTAATTGGATAGCCCTAAATCTGATAATCTATTTCATCTTAGGTATCTGTCCAATTTCAATGAGGACGGGTTGTTACCATGTGCGGTATTTAAGACAAGGGATTGTTACACAAATAGCCGCCCAGATTCAATATTTACTTTTTTTGGTCGGTATACATAAATTATAAATTAATTATATACAATATTATATAATAATTATATACATATTATATATCTACCGGCTATTTTTTGTAGGCGGCTATTTGGATTAATTCTTCCTAAGACAATGGAAGTTTGAATTGGGTCAAGCCATCTGTAATTGAGCTGCTTTGGGCTTTTCGATCCATGTTCTAAAGCCTGAACAAGTTTTGTCTAATGATGGTCCAAGACAGGGGCTCTAGTATATGGGCTGTTCTTGGTATAAGAGTGACGGACTGGAACATTAACTAAAGACCAACATAAGGGCGGAACTAGAGCATAGCTTATGAGTTCGATCGAACCTGTTTGTATGTTCAAACTATGTATTTATCTTAAGAAATTTATTGAATAGATATAAATTGTTAATATAGAATTCAGTAACTTAATTAAAGGAACTAACATCCCGACCCATAAACTTTAAATTCTTGCATCGCCTCTAAATTCTAACATACGTAATTTGAACATGCATGGACACACTGTAGAAAGGGACCTCGACTACTTGTACAGTTATTTCAGATTCTTTTTTAAAGCTTATACTATATTATTCAGTAATACTTCTTGACAGGGGCGGATTTAGGGAGCGGAAGGGTTCACTCGAACCCCTTCGCCGAAAAATTATACTGTATATAAGGTAAAATTTGTTTTTTACCTCTATATATATTAAGTTTTGAACCCCTTTAACACAATCCAATAGTGTAATTTAGTGGTCGAGAGGGTTCAAAATCTTCATAAGGTCAACACTTCTTTAGTTATGGTTAGTTTATTTCTATGTTGGAATCTCCATAGAGATTTTTCAGTGGTCGATCAAACTATCAGAATTCTAATCATAATATTAGATATCCAAACGTTCACTCTCTATTTCCATTTTAAGGATCTACGACATGGTTTATATATTTTTAAAGAATAAATGACTTTATTAGTTTGAGTGGGAAAATATTCATATTAATCTATAATGTAATTATTGCCCACGTAAGGAATACATAGTGCAAATGCCAATTCTTAGTTTGAAAATAAATTATTACCTCCTTTGGAAAATTTAATCACAAAAGTATGTTTATATCTCAGATATTGTTATCAATGCACATAGTGGATTAAAATTACACACTGCTAAAAATGATGTAAAGGGACAATTATTACCTTTCATCACCTAATTAGTACCTTAATAATAAATTATACTGTAGAATTTTAGCTCAAGTAGCAAAAGCTGATATCAGGTTCGTCGATCGTCTATTAGGCTAGAATAATGGGGCAAGTACCCTGTTATTCAAGTTTGTCTAAGCTATTAGTTTGGTTATCTTTTTTATTTCAAAATGAGTTGATACATTTATCTACATATACAAAATCGCCTTACTTTTAAAGGGTAAAACGTAAGGAACAACGTGACATCATTAAAAATATAGCAAGAAGCAAATTAGCAGATAGAAATGGGCATAAATCTGTTTAAATAACATTTTTTCTCTCTCTAGTCCAAATTTGGACTAAGGCACGTTTTCAGTTACCCTCAAGTTTAGTATGTATCAGATTTAGAAGTTATATGTTAGTATTCTTAATATATTAATATTAATATTGGCAAAGGGGAGGGGTGTTTAGTTCATTGGAACATCAACGAGTAGCTAGGTCGTGGTGACATATTGGGAAGTTAGTCTAACCGAGATTTTAGTTTGAAAATATATGAAGGTCCTAAATTAGTTTACTCCCAGAAAATTAACTAGAGGGAAGTTAAAAGGACAATTTAGCAGCCTGTGGCATGTGAAGAAGAACATCACAATTATACTATATATAAGTATATTATAAGGGGAGCAATGAGTAGCTGTTACTGCATGCATATAGCTTTCCCGCAATATTAAGAGAAGCAACCTTCTGTAACAGCTAAATTTTCACTAGTAGTGTAAAAGTTTCTTATCACTGTCCTTTTCTATGTGGCAAGACGTATTAATGACCCAAAGATTACGATTGTTCTGATCAATAAACTACAATGGTCTAAACACCAAGTTTTCTAAGGGAATTCTCAAAAATAGTTAATAACGGTAACAAGGTCATGAAATGTAAATAGTGAATATGACCAGCTATGTGTGTGTAAAGATCCCTTTTGTTAAGCCTATGCAAAGGATAAGTACAATTTAACATTGTTTTAATTTCTATCTTGCAAGTTGCATGTAGGGCAGTGCATAATTTGGTAGATATCAAATGATCACCACTCAGAAACTGAAAATTCTGGTACTCGATATTGTATTAAGTGTATGATTATTTCATCTCTAAGGACTAAATCCGACTTCAGTTCTTGTGAAGATTAATGAATGCACTAATTATAAGCTGCAAACAAACAACAAAGAATTCACCCATTAATGATATTTACAGTTCGTGAAGGTACAATATATATACACACACACGAACGTAACTCTTAACATGAAAGGCCCAAGACGGTAAAGAAAACTAGTCAATTAAGGGACGATGAAATTCATAATACGATACTCTTAACTGACATTTATGAACAGAAGCAGTTCCATTTTCAGATATTGAGGGTTTCAGAGAGCTTAGTTATCAGCATTAACAAACAAACACAGTTCTCAGAATCCTTTCCTCACTAGAAACTAAGCAACCTGAAACAGTTAGAAATGTCTTCTTCAAAGACAACATGAGAGCGAGAAGGAAACCCTAGAGAGTACGTGTTCTTCAAAGAAAATAGAAATTAACAGGACGCCCTAAACTATAGATAAACTAACGCACAATAATTAGATAAATAGACAGTTCCAACAGATCAGGGAGAGAACATTGGCTGGTGACTTCATTTCCTTAATTAGTAAGGAGATACACCCACGTTTGCTGGAGCAAGAAACCCTTCCTTCATCAGAACATCCTCCCCTTCCTACACATTTCCCAAAAAAATTAAATCAAATTGAATAAATCTAGAATGGATTTAATTAAAATGGAAAAGCATGACAAATTAAACTATTTGAAAATTTAATTTATATATTTTGATGACAATATAAATAATTTTTATATTGTTAGTATATTTTAACACGTGATAGCAGAATACATGCTTTATTTATTTTTTAAGTTACTATGTCCACTTGTTATGGACGAGTTGCAAGTGTAATTACTTTTTAAATGAATTGATAGTATATACTAAGTTCTTTTACACAGTCAGTTTGTAAAAATAAAGAATGTTAAGCACTTCAAAGTAAAATTCTATGTTTAACTATATAAAAATGATAAAAGTGTACTGTGGTTTAATTAATTAGCTCTATTAATGAAAAACATATTGGGTGAAAAGCTAGGGTTTTAAAAAGAGTTGGAAAGGTACCTGTTGACATGCATTGGGTTTCTTCACGGGTTGATCAGGCATAAGTCCGAAATGAATGTGTGGAAAGTGGGCCCACTGCAGTACAAGAAAACAAACCAGCGCACAATTCAATGACATGTTTGTAAAAAGCAACATATGCACCAAACCCTAGTCAAACAAAACCCTAGTTAAAAGGAATAGAAACTAGCTCTAATGCCTATAAGAATAGATTCTTATTTAATCTTTCTATTCTTGTGTTAATTCTATCATAATAAATTATTAATTTATCTTAATAAGTAAATTTTTTGGATCTTACATTCTTTGCAGCAGCACTGAAGGCCTCCCTGTGACTTATATCAGGATTTCCAGCTTTGATACGTTGGATCTCGTCCCTGCATATATCGCAGTCATTAAATTTTTTCATTGTCTTTGTCAATGGCAATCCATATGTGCTTAAATCCTTTTTTAATTATATATATGTATTTCTAACCTAAGCTCCCGTTTGGACACAATTTTTGGCTATTTTTTTTCAAATAAATTTGAAAATATAGTTTGTTCGTGGAATCTAACAAGTTTTTTGAAGAAAAAAAATTTAAGTTTCAAGGGTGATAATTTTTCTTTTATTCATAAAACGTCAATATTTTTTTCAAATAAAATGTATGTTCAAATACAACTTAAACTTTCAAAATTCATTATTTTTCAACACAACTTCGATAACTCTTTTTTTCAAGTTTCAACCAAATTTATGTTCAAACAATAGCTAAAAAAAATGAGATAAACAAATATTGTATGAATTTAAGAAAAATATACATACTTGATGAATCGATTGTAAGCAGATGGCACACGCTGTCGTTTCTCCGGGGCTGAGTACAGACGACATGTAGACAAACAAAACAGGCATTAAAAACACTTGGCTGACTTTCTGTAGTATTTCTATGCTTTTATTTACCAGTACTCTCACGCGGGACCAAAGAGATCAAGAATACTTTTGCTACTACTATATACCTTTTTCTCTGTCCTTCTCCTCTCTCACATCATATCATATCATTTCATTATCATTATCTAATGATCTATCCTTCTATCTATTCATCTAGATTCTGTGGTGCTTTTGAAAAACCATCTGACTTTCCGGGGGACATTTTCTCTTTTTCTTGTACTGAGAGAGAAAAAGGCATCAACTATATAAAAAGTGCCTAATACACATAAAGCAGCTGTGGACAGAAATAAAAATGTTAAGAGTGCCACAACTAGGATTTGTACTTACAACCTAAATTAATTTCTAAACACCATTTACTAGTATACTACTAGAAATTTCCCTCATGTTAACCGGATTCAACAATTATACCTATAACGTAAAGCAATTTTTCAGGGCACATTAACTAGTTTATTACACTAATTCGTTTCCAAAAAATTGTCCTAGTTTGACTTAGCAGAAGCTTTAACAAAGAAGGGAAGATTTTTGAGATGTGCGATCTTAAAACATTTGTATGGTTATAAAACTTTTAAAACTTGTGATCTTAAACCTGTCATATTATTTCTGTGGCTATAGATGCTTCGTAGTAAGGAAATATTAAAAGGGGCAATCTTTTTTAAACGGACTAATAAAAAAATAGTGTCTATCATTTTGTGGGGATTCAACAACTGAACCTACAACCTATATGCACGAAATAACTTTCCGAATGAGAGATTCAATTGAACCCCTTTAAACCATGCACTTCTGCCCTTGGTCCTAAGCCCAATCCCCCAAAGAAAGAAGTCCATATGAATATATAAGTTTTTCTATAAAAGTGGCCACCATAGTGGTGGGTTTAAAATTTTAATATGAATGGTTAAAATTATTCATTCTAACCAGATTTTAGGGTGTGTACTGATTTTTCCATTGAAGATAAAACAATATATCATCATAGTTAGCACATATATTGTACACACAGGCAGAAACTGTAGATGAACAGTGCAAATACGTTTTAGCTGCAATTTCTAAACATGGCTTTTTGGGAAGTACCTTATATTTGGAAAGTGTTGGAGAAGGACGGCAGGCAAGAGTAAATGGTAGAAGATCCTTCCCAAAAATAATACTTATTATTTCATTATGGAAAAATAAAAGTTTTAACTTATTAGACACAGATGAAGAGGAAACATATGCTAGTAAAGTGTACATTCTTTCTTCATTTGCTAAGAAACCCCTATTCACCTAAAAGTCTAGAGCTTCATTGTTTGTTTAAGGGTATAGCACTCCATATGCTGAAATTAAATTAATTTAGTTCTTTTTAGAAAGTGTGTTGCCAGTAAATGAGTTTAATTTTTGGGTCATTTGTGAAACTCTGAAGGAGAAATTTATAAGTGTAAGTAGAATTAATCTTACGTCTGTTTGCGACTGGTGGCTTTGGAAGTTCATCAACTCCTCGAACTGGCATGAGTAACTCATTCGGGTTTGGCTGATTGATCAACAAACTTGGTGGAGAATTCCGAATCTCCTCCTGTTTTTTTTTAAGAAATAATGACAAGTGTAAAGGAAAAATGTAAAAGAATTGTTAAACTTACACTTTCATCTCTTAAGAGGCATCAGATAAAATTAGAACAATACAGAAAAGATTAGCATAAAGGATTACAGGCACAAATAGTGAAAAATAAAACGTATTGAGCTGAAAGATTAACATAGACGCATGGACTTGAAAACCTAGATTCCAAGCATAAATGATGTGTATAATATATATACCAGAAGATTCTGAGGAGAAAAGAAAGAATGGGGGAGATGAAGCTGATTTGCAGAGGGAAGAAGCAGGCCGCGCATGTTGACGTTGACAGACAGAAGGTTGGTGCAATGACCACACCTTACTGTCACAGTCTTGAACAAACTGGAGCAAGGAACACTCACCTGTATACAAAAAATAACATGAGTATTTTAGCAAATAGAGTAACGCAATAGCAATTTTAGCTAATTAATGAAAAGGGTCTAGGCCGCTGAACAGTCTAACTCTTTCATCTAAATGTTTAAACTTTGACCAACAAGAAACAAGTGAAAGATTTGTGTTTATCTTTTTGACTCCAATCCCCCTTTTGTAATGAAATTATATATTCCATTTCGCACTTCTTAGGGAAAAACTGCATTAGAAATGTTCCAGTATGTAATATAACGTATTCATTATTGAGTTATGATGAATAGACTGAACATCCTTGAACAAACTGGGGCAGAAAAACATGGGAAGAGATGAAAAAAATACCAACAGATGGAATAAATAAAATCCAAGAAAGTTCGTCTTAAAGAAAATCTATGTAAATGGTTCCAACAAAACTACATAAATGAACACATATATAAAGTATAAATTAAAGGAAAATAAGGCAAAAGTATGAATAATTTCAAGAACATGATCATCAATTTTAGAAAGTGAAGAAGGGAATTAAGAGGTCATAAGACAAAAGAGAGAGAGGAAGCTAAGAATGTTATTGTGTGGTAGAGTAGGTGTTATAATATAGTAGGAAGAAATAAAAGTAGTATAATACCGCGAGAACAGTGTCACAAAAGTTGCATTGGACATAGCAGAGTTGTTCCCCTGAGGGAGGAGAGAGGTGATGGTGGTGGAGGTGGTGGTCCGGAGCAAAAGCAGCAGATGAAGAGGACATGATGTTTTTGAGATGAGATGATAAGATTCTGATTTCTCCCTTTTGATTTGATTGATTGATGATTGACTGATCAAAAGGAGTGAGTTTTATATAACAGCTTGGATAGGGATCCTAATTCTTTTATTTTTCTTTTAGGAGTTATCAAGACAAGTTGAAAAGTGAGAAGTCCATGTGTGTGTGAGAGAAATAGAGGGATAAAGACAGAAACCGACCTAATATAACAGACTAGGGGCATTTTATGCTTCAACAAATTCTCTAAAAAAATTCACATTATTTACTACTCTATTTTGTTTTTCTATTGTCCATAAAATAATGATACTGCCACAGTAGGGACTAAGGAGCATCATCTCCGCGCGTCCCATTTAGAGTTATTATTTCATTTCTTTTTTTTCCTGAACTAAATCAATTGTTTTAAAAAAAAAATCAATTGTATCAAAATTGTTTTCACATTAAATTGTTTTTCCTTTGTAAAAAAAATTACACTATCAAAGCATTAACTTATAAGGTACTAATAAGCAAATTTCTATAATGATTGTAATTTCTAACCGGATAAAAAATAATACTCCAACTAACATGCAATCAGAAATTATAAATACACTGGCATTTAAAGTTGTGATACTACCATATTATAAATAATAACAACAACATACCCAATATATCCCCATAAGTGAGAGCCTGAGGAGGATTGTATGTACGAAATCCTTACCCCTATTTTGTGAAGGTACAGAGGCTGTTTTCGAAAGACCCTCGACTCAAAACAACAATATCACAACAGTTATGATAGAGAACTACGGCAAACGAAATAAGAACAACAACCAAAAAAAATAAAATGACACAAAGAAAACCTCAAGTATAAAAAAATTGATCCAAAAATATGTAACACAAGGATAACACTAGTACAGGTGTAAGAAAGGAAATAAACTCAACTACTAACTAAACTACACACTACCATATTATATAGCCCGTAAATAGATGACTACATGTGCATACAGGCTAACATAAATTGCAAGTTCAAAAACAAATATTTGTAAAATCAAACTGGGAAGAGTAAATAGGAATTCAAACAGGGTTGTAGTGAGATGGATTGGATGGCTTCTCGCTTAATAAGAGGTTTCATATTCAAGTTCTAAAACCAAAAAAATTCTGATAGAAAGCGTATTCTCTTTTGATGGACCTTGGGCAAGTGAATCCTCGAAATGGATCGGAGAAAAAGAAAAAAAAATGTATGGTTGTTGCCATTCCCAATGGCTTTGCTTGTTTTGGTGTGAGGAGGGGGTGGGCGTGGGCGTGGGGGTAGGGGTTGGGGAGAAGCAGAGGCGGCAGAGGTGGGGGAAAGGAGTGAGAAAGGGACGTTTGCATGGGCCGATTAGCTTTCACTCATTCACTTGTTGTTTTCATAGTTATGAGAGAAGAGTAAGAGACAATCGTTTTTCTTTTGGTTCTTTCTTGGTTCCCATATCTTCATTTATTTTCTTTCTTTTTTGGGTTTTTCTCGTTTCCCAATTCTTCTCTTGTATTTAATTACTAGAGTGAGTAGGGTTAATAAAGCCTTAAATGTCGGGCACCTATCCTCTGCATCAAATTACTGGTGCCCCAACCTCCAGTTATTCCATGCTCAAGGTTAGTCTTGATTACTACTAGCTCCATTTTAACTCCAACATGATATATTACCTCTTGTATATCATTTTCTTGGTCATTGAATTCGGTTCATGTTATTTGTTTTTAAAAAATTGCTTATATATTAAATAACCTCAATCATAAGAGTATGTGATCACTATAGTAAACTTTTCTCTTTTTTAAATGCCTACCTATTTTGAGAAATGATACTATATAACCACTATAAAAATAATAGTCGAAAACTATATAAAATTTATATATATATATATNCTAAAAGTGATAATATCCCTAATTGACACTCTAACTAAAAATTAAAAAATGTTTCTTGTCTTTTGAGACCACATAGGGTATGATTTTATTCTGGGAGCGAGTTGGCATAATTAAGGAGATTTGGTAGGTGGAATTTATTAAAACATCTAAAACACATATGTTTCATATAGATTACAAGATGCCTATACATGTGGTCCAATTTAACTGTATGACTCACAAGTGTATTATTTCTTCATACTTAGGTTTGATGCTTAGACCAAAGTCAACTAATTTAAATTCAGGAGGCCTGGGAAAATATCAATGAAGGTAACTTTGCATGACCCCACCTTGATTTATATACAGTATATATGACAATTCGTACTGCTTCCAAAACAACAAGAGTCAAATATTATACTGCTAACGTTTTAATCTTTGTTTCGGGGTGTTTGGACCACTTTCAAAGTCCAGTTGTGTGTAACCCATTCTTAGTGCAAGTGGAATTGTTTGTAATTTCTAAGGGACAAAATACCCTTTTGGTTCATTGGGTGACACTCTGATTCCGAACTTAGTTCATGTAATAATTAATATCATATTTTATTAACGCGTCATTTCTCCAATTAATATGATCTTCTTCTTAAGTCGTTTGCGATATATCTTCTTTTGGCAAAACTCGGATAAGAAATTAAGAATTTGATAGCTTCACGGCTTTTTCTCACTCTTTGCTTCTTCCTCTAATTTATCTTTATTGTTAATATATTTCTCCATATAATCCAATTCGAAGTTAGGAATTAGCCGAAAGATAGGCTGGCAGTCGATAGTAGTTCTAAATGAATATATTGCATAGCAGGATGTTGGTTTTTATTAAGATTAAAACGTTTGAATTCAAATACATATATAATTACTAAGATATTGTATTTTTTTTAAAAAAAGTAAATTTCTGCCTTTTTAAAAAAAATATTAATCCATCGGACGGGGCTTTCACCTCACGTGATGATAGGGGTTTGGCATTGACCTCTACCTTGTTTATTGATAATCAAAGTAAAGTACAAGAGGAGGGGAACATAAACCTAACCTCTCAAACACAAAATAAAACCTATCTTAATATCTTCATAGTACAGATAGCAGATTCAAAATAAACGTCCCAAGGGAGATGATCCTTGAAAGGAATAATAGATGGATTCTTTCCAAGAATAAAGTCAGCTTTTCGTTGATCTTCCTTGATTCGTGGTCTTGATGAGCTTCTTATCCGCTAGGCATAACTTTTCTTTGTTTGAGGCGTATGCACTAGATCCCTTGATTTCTGCCTTCAACGGTCTTCAGTGCTTCCCTTTGCGATATCGTTTCCCTTTGATTTTGAGACCTTCCAGTAATAACTTCCATCAATCATATAGAATCACTAATTGATTCTTCTTCCGGATCTCTGATGCTTCTTCCTTTTTAATCGCTAATCATTGATTCCTTTCCTTGTGTTGCTGATTGTTCCCTTAATCTATTCTTGATTGGTACTGCTTCTTGATTTCTTTGTTTTATTCTTTATGATCCTGCACCAAATGTGATATATTATTTTTCATCATTGAAACTTATAGTTAACAATCTCTCCCTTTTTGATGATGACAAAAAATTATATAAATAACAGTTAACTTCCCTATAGTCGATAGGTGCTGCATATACTTCAGTCGACTCCTCCTCAACAGGTGTTTCAGTCGACTCTCCTCATAGTTAGTTGACTCCCCCTCAACAGGTGCTTCAGTCGACTTCCCCTAAACATTTCCAACCGTCTGTCCTGCAATGTATAGATTTCTTTCTCCCCCTTTTTGACATCAATAAAGAGGGGATATGCATATATACTAATTATAGGCTAGCTAATATTATAAATCATAGGCAAATATTATAGGCATGTAGAGGTTAGTAAAACATCCAGCGATTGGTTATCCAGTCCAATAAAATAAAACAACAAAAAAATTGTTTGAAACTTCCACAACTAACAACGCAAGAAATAAGTAAGTATGTTGCAAATCAACTCCTTTAGACGTTCAAAGCTGGCATTGGCTGAAATTGTTACCCCATCAATCCTGTCATGTTCTTCCTTGAAATCTTTAACTGCATTTTTTTCCAAGTTTAAGTATTTTAACTCTCATATTTGAAACATTGGACCTAGTCTCCTTGGAGAACGCATGTATGTCCCCAATAGTGGATTGAGTTGTAGTAAAAAAGTCCTTGATGATGATTAACTTGTTATCAATAGCAGTCAGTTTCTCCATAAGAACATGATCACTTACACTATAATGGGAAACATAGGCTTTGATCTTGGAATCAGGCTGAACGTTCTTGACTTCACTTTCCTGTTTCTTCACCCAGGAACCCTTAGCACACACATATCCTATACTAGCGAAAGCCCTAGAGGTGTAAGATTTTGAAATTGAGACAAAAGGGTATTCTGAGATAGAGATGTTGTGGGCTTCCAAAATGTGGATGATAGCCATACCATAGGTCAAACTGGTGGGATCATCAACACTCTCAATCATGAAATTTATGACCCATGAGGATAGTTTAACCTTGAGTTTGGTCACAAGATAGTAGACAAGAAAGTTATCTCGTTGAGAGAAGGTCGAGAATGATCCAGTACGAGGAAGAAGAGTAGCTGCAACTAACATCACTGGGACTAACTGGTTAGGAAGAAAATCAGATGGACACTCAGCTATACTACATTTTGCTTAGTCAATAGAGATTTCAAAATCATCAGGCTAAGTATTATTGAAAAGCATCGAAAACACAGAGCAGTTACACTGAAAAATTGAGTCAAACATGACACAATCAAGGACAATGAGTTTAGATAAAACAAGGGATTCTTGGAGTGTTTAGCCATGGAAATTTTTTGAGACAGAGTTTGAAGAACTTTGAAGAGGGTTTCTTGAGCGTTAGGAACAATGAAGACTGGTTCAGAGGATTAAAAGAATGGAATTTTGATGGTTGAGAGCAAGAAAGGAAAGGTGTAAGTGAAAGGACATGATGATTGATTTTCCATTCTTGAAAGTTGCGATTGATGGGAAAAAAGGGAGGGAAAGTGAAGACGCCAAATTAATGCATACTTACACGCACAAAAATTAAAACATTAGACATACAAGAATTAAAAACTAACACATAGGTCCTAATTTTTATGATCGAGAGAAATAATACCAAGTAGTTCTCTTAGAGAGAAAAATCTATCTTCAAGAAAAGACTTAGTAAAAATATCTGCTAATTGATCAGTGGTGCCAACAAATGATAATTCTATATCTCCCTTG